GTTCACTGCCGTTCTGATGTTATATTAGTTGCTGTAGGTTTAAGAGTAATTCTCACACAGTCTATCTATTTCAATTTTTGTGGAAATCAAGCATATTCCCCTGCCTTCATAATGCCCATTAATGTGTTCAAATGTTTTACTTTTAAGTTTGAAATTCTCATTGTTCTCAATTCAATCAAATTAAAACGTACACGTTTACACCATGATGTAAAAAGTAATATAATATAATGATATGCATTACAGCAATGAGAACTGCTTAATTGTCATGAAAATAATGTCACAATGCAATTTAATAGTATAATAATAGCCTTTATATATATATATTGTACAGTTCCAAAGTTTGGAGTGAGAAGAGATTTTTTATATAACTCATTATTTTTTTCAGCAAGGATGCATTAAATTGATCAAAAGTGATAGTAAAGAGTTTTATTATGTTTTAAATAAATGCTGATCTTTTAAACTCCATATTCATCAAAGAATAAAAAAAAATTAAGCATCTATTTTCAATATTGATAACAATCAGAAATGTTTCTTGAGCAGCAAATCAACATATTAGAATGATTCCTTAAGGATCATGTGACACTGAAGACTGCAGTAATGATTACAGGAATGAATGACATTTAAAAATATATTCAAATAGAAAACAGTTATTTGATATTGTAATAATATTTCAATATGACTGTTTTATTACTGTATTTTAGATCAAATAAATGCAGCCTTGGTGAGCATGAGAGACTTCTTTCAAAAACATAAAAAAATAATACAAACCCCAAACTTTTGAATTGCAGTGTATATATATATTATGATATATTATATTATACAAAGTTCAAATGAAGTCTTTGATTAATATCAACACAACGCTACCTTGCTTGCAGTAATCGTAACCGTAACTACATTCACCTTAAGATGTTATGAGCACAAATCTTTGTTCTGACATTATATAGTCATGTTTATACACACATATCGTCACAAATAATAAGACTCTGCCCCCTCATGGATGCCAGATGATACTGCAAGTCCAACTCTCCTCTGATTTCAGGATAGCTGGTGATACTGCGCTCTGTAAGAACATCCACGAATCAGTCAGCCGGCAGATGAAGAAAAACTTTGCCAAAGCAAAATGGCGAGTAAGTGACCACGTCCTTTCCATGAAATTTTTCTTTCCCCCTTTGGATTCATTAATTGAAAAACCCGTATTGATTGACCAGTATTTTATTTAACATGTGATTTAAATGTCAGTGTCAGTCTAAACTCTTCTCTCCTCACAGCAAGCGTTTAATGCCACTGCAGTGATCAGACATATGAGGCGTCTTCAGCTTGGCAGCAGTATGGATTCCTCTCAACACAGGAAGCAGAACCCAACATCCATGCCAGGGAAGAGTCAGTCGGTTGATGTTTCTTCAGTCCACCGCAACGACTGTAAGTTACCACAATCCTTTAAGGCCCCGATATACTCACAGCGAACTTCTTTTCATTCTTTGCTTAGGGGTAAAAAGAAGTCCAAAATAGCCTTGCAGCGATACACTGTTAGCGAACATCTGACGCCGCCCACACATTTAGATGTGAATATGTGCTGAGCGCTTTCCTCTCAATAACAAAATAAACACACACCAAAAATGCCAGTGGTGCGAAAACAGCATCATATCGATTTGGATATGTTTGCAAGAGCTCTGCAATTTGGCACTCTAATCAATCACGATTATTTAAATAGCACTTTATACAATAGATTGCATGAAAGCAAGCAGCTTTTACAGTATTAAACGTGAAAAACTGTGTAACTCACTCTTAAATTAGAATCACAACTTAAATTTCTATTGCTATAAAGCAGCTCTCGAGTGTATTCATGTTTTTATGTGGCCTTGACGGACTGAACAGAAGAAATGAACCTGAGAAGATCCACGCCAAAGAAGGCGGAGCCTAAGAGCCACACCTACCTATTACTTAATCGTCACGGACCAATGGTAGTTTGAAGGAGTGTCCCCAACTTTATTGAGATATTCGCTTTGACAAGCTGTTTTGAACTCAAAACTAACTTTGTTTTGGCCTAAAATTTGGCCTTTGTTCAAAATTACGTCAATTTATCACCTTTACAGACCCCTTTAGCGACTAATCTGGTTTACGTGTAGTTTGACACTATATCATACTTGTTCCATTGTCTGACAGGAAATATGTAAATGAGAACAGCTTTATTTGACACCCAGCTATATATTACACTGCCCGGACAAAAAAAAAAAAGTCACTGTTCGGTTTTGCCAAATGAGTCTATGATTGGATCATTATTGCAGTGATTATTATGTTTCTAGCATGTTATATGTTTGGGAAAAGTTCTTCAAACCATAATTGATGGAGTGTGTAGCTTTTCTTTTCATAAACAACCATGTAGGAAGTCAGATCATGGCCATATTCCAGGACGACAATGTCAAGATTCATCAGGCTCAGACTGTGAAAGAATGGTTGAAGCATGAAGAATAATTTTAAGTCCAGATCTTAAATTCACTGAGAGTCTTTGGGATGTGCTGGAGGAGACTTTACAGAGCGCTGGAGCGCAATACAAGATCTTGACCAAAAATGAATGCACCACTTGATGGAAATAAATGTTGTGATGTTATTTCCATCAAGAGGTGCATCATTTTTGTTCCAAGATCTTTGTCATCCTGAAATATGGCCATCTTCCTACATGGATGTTTAAGAAATGAAAAGCTACACACTCCATCAATTAAGGTTAGAAGAACTGTTGCCAAACATATAGGCTAACATGCTAGAAACATAATAATCACTCCAATAATGATCCAATCATAGGCTCTTAAGGATTTGCCTATTTAAATCCAAACAGCGTCTTTTTTGGGCGGGCAGTGTATATTAAAATACAGAATGTGAGCACAGATTAGGAGAGAAAACATGACAATTGGCGCATGACGCCATCTAGCTACATATTGAGACTTTTCGAGCAGGCTTTAGCTACTTTCCATTGAAAATCGTTGGCAACACTGGACGTCACACCGGTTCGTTCTTCGATTTTGCTTGAAGTATATCTGGGCCTTTATATTTCTTCAGCTGAAACTCACAATAGATGTTTTTGACTCGACTTTGGTTGACCGTGTCAAGTTGCTCATCACCAGTGATGTGTTTTGTGTTGTATTATGTCGTGTTGTCGAACAGCCCTTGAAGAGGGTGTTATCTTTGTCTAGGTCCGTCCGTGCAAGCGGCAAACTCTTCCTCGAAGACGGGAACGCCTGAGCGACAAGCGCGGGCGTCCACGGTCACCACCATCATCACCGGCTCAAAATGACATCACTCCTTGTGAGACCGCTGACTTGACTATTGCACTTTGTGGAAAATCGTGTTTTCTTCTATTTAACGGTAACTTCCATTGTCCACAGTCTAACACGTTTTCCTCTCTGGAAAGCCAATGGCGCGCTATACCTTGAGCCTGTCTCAAAAAGAGCGGCCTGTGTATTTAAGGTGACTGTTTTAATGAGTAAAGCTCACGACTTGAACGTTAATGTGGCTGTTGAATGGAGATTACGAACCTCGAGTTGAAGCACATCTGCTTTGGGTCGTAATAGTTCTTAAAAGTTGTGCAGATAAAACAGTTTTCTTTCATTAAACAGTTGTTGTAACTTTTTGCTGCTGTGTTTCAACCTGCTGCTGTTTTGAAGGACCAAACGATTAAGGATGTGAGATTTACAGAATATCTAGATAAGCTCATGTAGTTTATAGAGGATTTAAACCAATAGCCACAATTATTGCCATCCAGTACGTATAAACTTCGGTTCTGGATGCATGAATGGTGCAAGTGAATGAAGGGTGTTAATATTGTATTAAAAAATGGAAATGTGCAGTTTAATGGTTTTATCAAGACTTTGTTAATATCGAGAAAAGAATCTGGAGTGATGTGTGTGTCTGTCAATTTTTTTGAAGGTATGAAATGGTGGTAATAAGCATATTTTAAAGAGTTTTTTTGTGTATGTTTTGGATTTATTTTGTATGCTTTGCTTTTTTTAAATGACTTTTTGGCATTTACAGTATCATTTTCTTCACACTTTATATTGCAGTGATTGTTACGTAGTAATATTTTGTGGAAATTGAAGTATTTGTTGTTATTACCACTTAAATGATTATTAATTGTAATATAGCCACTGTAATGTAAACTGGTCATAATTTTATTCTTTTAATTGTGACTAAGCCTGAGGAAACTGAAGAACGCTTGACCCATAATGTGTTTTTTGTCACAGATCTATATGAAAACTACCAGCTTCAGTGACTGACATTTGTATTTGCAGATCTTGTGTTTCAGTGGAGCAAAAATGCCTAAAATTTCACACTCCGTCCAAAGCTGTTTTGATATGACGTGCCCACTGATATATGACCGTGAGAGATTCGAACAGTTTCTGCTCTTGAATCTTGCATGTCATCATGGTCTTCATACCAGCCCTCTGAATTTAGCAGCTACATGCTGGTTCTTTCATTCAGGTCGCAGAAATGATGTAAGCAGTGTTTTCTCTTCAGTAGATTTGTTCTGTAATGAGTGTTTTTGGTGTATGAGTGTATGGTGAGTTGATTTAAATTTTCCATTAAATGCAAAGATAAAACAGTTTTATTGTTGTTCAGACTTATTTGGATAGCTTTTATTTAACCAAAATAAACGGTTACAAAGATTTACAACATCTTGCTTAGACTGCAAATATTTAATAAATGTAATTATACACTTTACATTTTCCCAGCACAAATTAATAAAATCTGGTTACTTTTAAATTAAGAAGTTATTAAAAGCTTCTTGAGAAGATTTTCTATAACTTGTGCAGAGAATTTTGTCATGCGGGGGAAATGTACCATTTAAACTAACCATAAAAATAAAACAAAAACTGGCGAGTTATTAGTCGTACAGTTAAGCGTATATGGCTACGTTCTTTCGCGCTAGTGTGTAGCCTACATGTTTATGACACACGTTGTGCCAAAAAGCCTTTACAGAAATATGATGTAAAGTAGTTCTGTAAAGCTCTCCACCCGTATCCCTGTAGTTATTCACTGTTTCAGTTTGTGTGTCGGTTGTATTCGTAAGATGGGTCGAGGCCGTCGTGGTGGAACTCTCTCCACTGCTCTGTCTTCTCTCTGGTGCGCTCGTCTTGCTCTGGACGAGAGTCAAAAATTGAGGAATGTTAACTTTGACTGTGTATTCAGGTGATTATAAGCCTAAAGTAGGCTACCAAATGTGAGTGACATTTCCGATAGCACGTAAAGGCAGCATTACATATGATTAGTAAATATATATAAAAAAAAAAAAAAAACATTTGATTAGTTAGATTTAGTGAATCTGTTTTGTAAAACACGAGGTTAATCTGAGTTCATGTTGTTTGCGTTGAATGAATCAGAGAAGGTCTGATTGATCTCACGCTACTACTGCTGTCTAATCCAATATGGCCGCGGCGCCAGGTGAGTGAATTATTATTATTTTTACTCACCGTCACTCTCTTCCTCAGCGTAATTCTCAAACTGATTTCTCTGTTCCTCATGATACTCCCTCCTTCTCTTATCTGCGGCCAGCCTCTGTCTCTGTTCAGCTAATGAGACAACAACATGCGAGAGGAAGAAAGAGAGAAGGAAATAAAAACAGTAAACTATGGAAACCCATTTCAGCCACATAAGAAAGTAAATCATGAGTTGGTCAATCACAATTATATTCATAATTTCGACTTTTTATCCCATCATTTCGACTTAGTATGTCAATTTCGAATTTTCATCCCCATATGACTTTTAGTATGTCATAATTTCGACTTTATCCCATAATTTTGACTTAGGCTTTTAGTATGTCATAATTTCGACTTTATCCCATTATTTTGACTTAGGCTATGTCATATGATTTACCAAAGCATGATTTATTTTCTTATGTGATGGAAATGGGCTTCCTAGACAGACCCATTTTCTATTATTATAACATATTTTAACTACAATTATGCAAATGCTTTTGTTTGGATTTCATTGTATTGCACAATAGTATCATCTGATTTAGTGTGGCAGGCAGCACCACCGAGTTATAAAGCACCATAAACGCATACCAATTAATTTAGTTTTATTTTAAGTCCAAAAAATATAACATATTGATTCCACTTGAGATGTTCTCTCACTTTCTAAATACATAGTAATGAATTACCACAAGTGAGTCAAACAGTTTTTGGTGAGCCCATAACCATAAACAAACACAGACCAGGTCAAAGCCAAATAAAAGCATGAAAAAGCAGCAGAGCCCCTCCTCCGTTGGCAGGAGCTGAAGACTGAATGCTGGTTTCTCCAGCCTGCCCTGTGGTTCCTGGTGCTGTGGTTTTCCGTCCTTGCATTCCTCAGCTGGCTCAAAACGCAGCACCTGTGTGGCCAGTGCAAGCCACTACTAAAAGGGCTCTTTATTACTGTTTTACAATAGCAAGCCTGACTAAAAAGTTCTAGAAGCCACAACAGTGATGTGATTGATGCTCATTTACTTTGCAAGACTTCAGATTGTGGCTTTTTATATATACACTACCGTTCAAAGGTTTGCAGTCAGTAATATTTAAAATATATATTTTAAATCTCTTATAATCTCTCTTATTAATTGAATTTAAAAATACAGTAAAACCAGTTATATTTTGCAGTATTTATTAAACTGTTTTCTTTTTCAATATGTTTTAAAATATAATTTATACCTGTGATCAAAGCTGAATTTTCAGCATCATTACTCCAGTCTTCAGTGTCACATGATCCTTCAGAAATCATTCTAATATGCTGATTTTATTAATATGCTGAAACATTTCTTATTCTTATCAATGTTGAAAGTTTGCTCAAAGATAATATTTTAGGTGCTTCATATTTTTATGGACACGTTATACATTTTTATCCAGCATTCTTTGATGAATATAAAGTTCAAAAGAACAGCATTTATTAGAAATATTTATCTTTTGTAACATTACAAATCTTTACTGTCACTTTTGATCAATTGAATGCATCTTTGCTCATTAATTGTTTTCTTCAGACTCTGTCCACAAGCTTGAATGCTTGTGTGTGTATAATATATATATATATATATATATATATATATATATATATAATCTTATATATAAAAAAATCTGGATTGTCCATTGTAGTTGACAGCTGCTCAAGGGGTTGGAAGAGTTTTCAAATAAGCACAAATAGCCTCACCGTTTATCTCATCCTGAGTTTTCACAGACCTCCTGCCTCGCCGTTTGAAGAAGCTGGAGGCATCTGACTCTGGCATGAAGATCTTCCTCAGTGCGCCTTCAGTGAAGAAGAACATTGATGAGGGGGGAGAACTCGTTGGAAAGATCTATGGAAAAATTGTGGGTTTTTTTGGTCACCTTGAGGATTGGCTGCCTTTGCATCCCTCCTATCTGACACAGCGGCGCTGTCGGTTCCATGAAACACTGTAACAAAGGGAAAATGATTGAGGTAAGTCCAAAAGATTTGCCACCCTTTCCAGGTACTGTTAAACCTGTGGTTCCCCACATTAGTAAATCAACACTTCCCTTGGTCAACCACAGTCCGGTTACTCACAGGTGATGGCGGACAGAACAACGAGACAGGTGAGAAGAGCAGGTTGCGTCCAGGACATTTTGAAGTTTAGCTGAGCAAGAACAAAGTAAAAGCTGCTGATGTTCTCAGGGACGTCTTGCCTGAGATTGGGCTTGTGGTCATGGGAGCTGTGAATGGAATTTGACCAGGAGGGTGAAAGAGGGGTGGAGCCTTGGGAATGTGTTGATTTTGGGGTGAGGGGTGGCACCGGAAAGGGCCACCGTCCCAGGGATCAAGCTCTGCGGGATCTTGCTTGAAGTGATCAAATGACATGGGAATGATGCAGTGTTAATTTTTAGCAAGGCATTTCTGCATTGGGAATTTATTAATAACACTGCATTGTAAAGGAATATTCCAGATTTGATACAAGTTAAGCTTAATCGACAGCATTTGTGGCATAAGGTGGATTACGATGGATAATGTTTTCAAAACACTTACTCGCGTGCGAGTGGGTGTTAATACTTTTTCCTATGCAATGACGTTAGCCAATTATAAAAGGGACCATTTACTGACAAGCCTTAAGGAGCCGCCCCTAAAAAATGAAAATAATAATTTTTTGCACACAAAACTTTATTAACATTTTAAGTGTTAATATTTAAAAAAGAAAAAATCCAGATCATGACACTTTTAACAAAATATTTAACAGAAAAGGTTTGTAAGGGATTTTTCACACTAAAATCATGTTAACACATATTGTTTGGTTTTGTGGCTGCAGTATTGAAACAATAATCAGCCTCATTCACTTCCATTGTATGTCCCTGACTATCAGCTGATTTGTTTTAAAGTCCCCCTGTAGTCAATAATTGTATCCCTTAAAACTCATCTTTGATCACCAAAATTACATATTTAAACGTTTTTTCCTTGAAAAAAAATTCTTCATGCCTTAAAATAACTTGAATGTAACTCGACACCCTTGCCTCATTTAGTATACGGGGTTCTATGCATATGCAAATGAGCCCCGCCTCCACTCACAGCAGCTCAGAGATCCACTCCTTGATCACACGTTGACCTCATTGGTTACAAGGTAGTTTGTGACATCAGAAACACCAGCGATTTCAAACCGACCTTTATTATACAAGACCTCAATATATTTCATGTTCTCAGGCAGCAACTTCGTCTTTTTATGCTTTTTGATACATAGTCTTCATTGTGCCCAGCTACTTTATTTTACACTATTCACATCCAACCCCAAAAAACAATATTGCCCCTCGTGAAAATATGACCTTTTCAACAACATGATTTCAGGACATGTTTCTGCCCCTTACAGTACCGAAATATGGAGAGTGTTTTGCACCTGAGGGGTGTGATCGACACAAGGGGCTCCTCTCATGCCTCAGGCCCCAGGCGAGAGGAACGTCTGCGGTTCTGTGTTTACTTAGGGGTTTTTTCTAGCTGGAGTCTAGCCAATGGCAGGACGCAGTGAATGACGAAATTGTAAGGGCCTCTTTCCGAGAGTCTGGGGCCCAGAGAAACTGAGGTGTGAGGATATGTAAAGGAAAGACTTATGTGGTTGACTGGATGACAGAGAGAAAAGTTTTGAAGCCGCTGCCAGAATAGGTTGCACATGTCTGCTTAACATATTCCTCTGGACAGTCGTAAACATGTCAGAATTGCTGCCTTTTTCTGTCCTTCAAAATCTTTGGCTGGATAAGCTTTGAAGATGTTTGAGTTTTCATTAGTTATGTTTAACAACTTTTTATGAAAAATGCAAATAACATTTGTTTAGGACTAATGTTACCAACTGACACAGTCATTCACTGTCTGCCCTGGAGGGAGCGCTAACTGACTAGATTTACCTGATGCTTTATTTAAAGGTGCCCTAGAATGTTTTTTTTTTTTATAATGTTTCCTGGGTTACCCTTATAATGTTAGTATGTTTTTTAGATAATCATAATTTAGAAATAAATGGCATTTTTCCTAGCCTGCTTTTAGCCTCTGATTTGAACACTCTGTTTGAAGGGGCGTGTCTGCTGTGGGATTCAGTGTAACCGCGGCCACTGCTGTGATTGGCTGACATTCTTGCATATGAAATTGCTACGCATTACATGTGAAACTCTTTCCCGAATACTTTTACTACTGCTATTATACGTTTTTACTATAACAGCTATCGAGATTAACGAATCGTGAGATGTTTTTAAAGTATTTAGATCTATTCCCATCACATAAAATGTTGCCGTGATGAGCATTGAGCAGATGACAGTTTTGATCGCGAGAATGAAGATCTTATCATTGCAAAGCAGTTTCTGCACTCTCTCTGCTTTCACCAATGCAAACACGATGATGTAAATACAGTAAGAGCTTCGTTGTGCAGTAACGTGCGTCATTGATTTCATAACGAGTTTGGCAAGTGTCCAGATAAACTCGCGCTGTGTGGAAAGATTGTTCTTTGATCGCTTTCTGTATATAATTTGTTCACAATTTAAATACGATTATTTTCATCCTAAAGAAACGATGTGAAGCTGATATTTTAGTCACTGGCTTGACTTACTGATTCATAAACAGTATGATTTTGAGAGAAAGATTACCTGTCTGAACTTGAACAATTACACATCAGAAAGTGTTGCTTGGTAGCTCGATCCGAGGCCAGCTCTGTATTGGCCCAAGTTGAGGAAACAGTCGGTGAAATGTTTGGAAATTTCCAGAGAAAATAAAATTAACCCATTGTTTCTTCAGAGGCTCAGATGAAGGAACTAAAAAATACTTTTGTGTTCATGTGTACATCCACACTGAGCAACTGCCATGCTTCGGCTGCGCAGTTCCGCCTGGCATTGAGGGCTGGCATTATGCAAATATTTGGAGGCGTACATATTAATGATCCCGACTATTGCGTCACAGTCGGTATTGTGTGGAGAACCGACCGTTTTTCAGGGGTGTTTTTCATAAACGTGAATTAAATGAGAACGCGAAAACAGTCCAGTTTGAGATTCACTCTATGTCATGTCCATGCACTGAACTCTTGTTATTTGACTATACCAAGGTAAATTCAATTTTGAATTATAGGTCACCTTTAAAGGGGTCATCAGATGGCCATTTTCCACAAGTTGGTATGATTCTTTAGGGTCTTCATGTAAAGTTTGTAACATACTTTGGTTAAAATTCCTCAATGGTTGTGTAAATCAACACGCTTTTTACCTCCTCAAAAACAGCTCTGTCCACAGAGACCCATTTCAGTGCATGTCTCTAAATGATAATGAGCAACTGCTCACCCCCTCTCTTCCATGGATCGTGTCGACACAAGACACGTAAAGTTATACAAATGGCTGAGGGCGGAGATATGCTAATAAGGGGCGGATATATGCTAACAAGGGGGCGGAGATACGCTAATAAGGGACCGTCCGTTAGTGGTCGTGAGCGGAGCATGAGCAATATGACATCATATTGCTCAGAAAATCCAAATTAAAAAAAGAACACCATATAGTTTTTTAACACCATATAAAAGTGAATTTTGCATCCGATAATCCCTTTAAAGCTGTTTCAAAAAGGATTGAAACAACATAAATCTATCTATCTATCTGTCTGTTCTATCTGTCTGTCTGTCCGTTCTATATATCTACCCATCCATCCATCTGTCTATTGTTCGATCTATCCATCCATATTGTTCTGTCTGTCTATCTATCTATATCATTGTCTATCTGTTTATCGATCTGTCTGTCTGTCTCTGTCCATCTGTCTAACATTCGATCTATCCATCCATCCATATTGTTATGTCTGTTTGTCCATCTATCTATATTGTTCTCTATCCATCTATCTATCTATCTATCTATCTATCTATCTATCTATCTATCTATCTATCTATCTATCTATCTATCTATCTATCTATCTATCTATCTATCTATCTATCGTTTTAATCAATCCATCATTATATAGTTCTATCTTTCTATTGTTCTATTGCATTTATTTATTTGATCTCATAATGAGAAAAACACAAGATAGATTCTTCTAATTTAATATAAATATTTTCCAAGTTATATTATTATCAGTATAACAATTCCAGAAAGTAGAGTCCAAACATCTGAAACGTTCTACATTTTTGTGTAATTCAACTTTTTTTTTTTAAACTCAACTTTTTATTCTGATGTAAATTGTAAGGAAAATATAAAATTTGAAAACTGCACAATTAGTATAGACTCAAGAGTGGTCTCAAACTTTTCTTTAATCAAAATGTGTGTATTTCTGCTGATGGTGGCAAATTTTTACAAGCTACAAACTCAAAGGAAATCCCTCAGTCTAACAGTTTGTTGACTGATAGATTCTCATCTTTTTGATCAGCGTATCGTAACACAGAACCTTTGGTGCAGAGATAACATAGTCAAACACCACCATGTACTCTGTCTTCTGTGGTTAAAGGAGGGGTCCACAGAACAGCCTTTGATTGGCCCATTACAATATGTGTACACCACCCAGTGAAGTGATTTACATTGCTGATCACACTCCTCAGGTATCAGCCTGTGGTGTTGTTCAGTCATTGGAGATGCCTCGCTTCACGGTCCACGTTCGGGACGAGTGGCTAACGGTTCCATGCAAAGATGCCACTTGCAGCATCAAATGGTTGGGTTTCGAAACTCTCAAGCGCTACATCAAGAACAAACCCGACAATGGAGGAATCCAGCACATCAAAGATGTGCGTTTTGTGGTCAGAAGATGTCAGGGATTGGGGTTGCTGGACAATGACGATACCATAGAAGATGTGCTTGAGGACAATGACTTTGTTGAACTTGGTAATGTTACAAATATGGCTTATTTGTGTTTGTCGAGAGGTTGAACTTCAAGCATTACGTTCTTGACTGACCTTTTTTGAGGCTGTTTACCACAAATACTGAATCCTGTTTTGCAAGATGAGTCAATAACATGTTCTTTTACTGTTATCTTCAGCTATTGAAGGAGACACCATGCCACAAGATTTCATTCCAAGTCAGCCTGACGGGACGTCACACCTGTATCTTTATATTGTCAGTCAATTACAAATTTTAATCAAAGAAATTATATGATACGCTGATTACTTAATCAAATGAATCGCAATTAATCATATACACCAATGTTTGCTGAGAAAACAACCTTCAAAAGACATTAAATGCATATCTAAAGTTTTACTTAAATCTTAAATTGCAGTAAAGGGAAGAAAATCCCTCATTACAG